AGTCCCAAGTGTCACTCGGTTCTGAAGTGAACCAGCATTTGACTCAGCCTCAATTATTTGCAGACAAATGGAATGGTTTGTCTTTCACAGGGAGGCTGTGGAGCTCTTACTACCAGCCAGCTGAAGTGCTTATTTGAAACAGAGGGATTGTAGAAGCTCACGGTGTTTCCACTTCTGGGTGTGGTTTTTTCAGGCTTTCCTTCTTCATAATTCTCTCTTTCACTCGCCACCTTCTTTGTGCCTTTTTTTTCTGAAGAAAAGCCCTTCTTTCACTGCTGATGGTATTTTGTATCAAATTCGCCTCTTGCCCCTCCTTTATCATCTCTCCCCAGCAGAGGGGGAGTGCAGGATAATAATCCTGGGGCTTTCTCAAATGGTCTGTTACCAGCCACAAAGTTGCAGCTGTTGAAAAAATTTAAAACATCTCCTAAATCAGTTTCCCCCAACCCTTGGCAATATCCTTAAACTCAGAGTTGGGGCTTTTAATAGGAAATCTATTGAGAGTCATCGTGGTTCTGATGAAGATTTGTATACATGACCTTAAAAACTTGGAGGTGCAAGGCACAGTGCATTGAAGGCGGTAGGAGGCTTTCCATGGGCTTTGGTGCGCTTTGGCTCAGGCTTTTAAAGAATAACAGGAAACATTGGAAAACGCACTGAGGGTAAACAGAGCAGTTTAGTTACATTAACTGTCTAGAGGAGAAGCTCCATTAATGACCGAAACAAACAAAGCAAGTGCATTTATTTAGCGTTGCTGTGGGAAAACAAACGGCTGTTAATTGTATTTAGCTAAAAGGGGTTACACAAGAAATTGGCCGGCTCAGGCCCAGAGTGTAATTCTGGCGTCCTGACCCAGTTCTGATCGCTGCGTAGACTCTGACGGAGAATAGTGTCCTGGAACAGAGTGGCCAGGGCTTTGAGAGACTGCATGCTATTTTTTATTCATAGCGATGCTACTTTAAAGTCTCGTTCTACAAAAAACAGCATCAAAGAGATCTGGTTTTGCTGCCTCCCTGTGACTCCTGATAAAATTTGCCTTGCTGTGATTATGTTAAAGGTCAGAACTCAGACTGGTCAGTCAGCTTGTTTCTGGACTCATAAATGATGAGCAACAATAAAAATGCTGCGGGACTCCTTTGGTGACGCCGTAGTGTCTTTGACTGATAACCAGTGCATTGTTTACATTAGGAAAGAAGCTGGAGTGTGAAACCAGAGTCCCATTGTGCTTGCTCTGAATAAACACAGAATGAAAGGAGTTTAAGAGCTGACAGCCTGAGCTGTTCTTGCTTGCCTTTGCGGAGCCTCATTGTCTTCAGGAGGAGAATGTGATGAACCAAAGGCTGAAATTTACCCTGTGCTTAGAGTGGAGCTAGAGACTGTGGTAGTGCCAGCACAAAGGGAAATCGAGTCCTGCTCGTCTGCAATGGCTCTGCTGGCTTTGTGGTGTAAGGGATAACATGCAGCATGTGTTTATTGCTCCTGATAAAATGGGCAGCTATGACTTGGAGAGAACAGAGGGCAGCAGGTTTGGAGGGTAATGTAGTGCCATTCTGACATTCCTACTTCTAATCTAAGAGCCATTCTTATCAGCCTTTTTTCAAGATCTGTTCATGTAAGAATAGAACTCCTTCCCAAAGCAGAATATTTCAAGAGACTGATTATCTGCTTCTAATTCCATGTGAACTTCTGAATAGCAGGTAAGATTAGATGATCACAAAGAAAATGCAAAGTACTGAATCAGCACTTGCACTGCTGTTTGGTACAAACACATAATACTCTGTCTGATTTATTTCTCTTAAAAGGAGGAGGCTATTCATTAGTGAAAAGAATCAGCATGGCATTGCATTTAGTATATGTTTAGGAAAAACTGGTCTCTGATGTAGCTGGAGACCCTTGAACTTCAGAAAATAATGTGTTAGCATGCTAGGGTATGCCTGAGTCCTACAGGTCATTTAATCCTCTCCTCAAGTGAGTCATTGTAAGGTAAACTAGATGCTGGGAAAATTTCCGCACTGCCAATTAAAACAGGCTCCAAAGGTGTTGCTGGTTTCATTCTACCAGAAACTCATCAGAGAGGCCAGTAGAGGTTACCTACGTAACTTGAGGCCAGATCCCAAGCTACATAAACTGGTGTGGCTCTTTTGGCTTAGCAGAGCTCCTTCACTTTATACTGATAACTCAGGCTCAATTCCTTTATGCTTATGACTTTTTGAAGTATTTCTGTTAGGAAGTCAGGAATGATTCAAAAGGTGTCAATTTCCACACGTGTAAGAATTGAAGGAATTTCACAAGAAGCCTGTGAATAACTCTGATATGTGAGTTCTGACTCACTCGTTATAGTGAATGCATTCTCTCTGCCTCAAACACTCCTGCAAAATCAAAGCTGAGTAATGGATGTTAGCCTCAGCATTTCTCCTAGGCGGACATCTTCCATGAGGTCAGGTTTAAAATAAAGGTAAGGACAGGAGTGTACCAAGTAATAACTGTTGCCCTTGTTTGCCAACAAAAAATCCCACTTAGATGAAGTTAATCAAAAAGCTAAGGCATTTCTTAATTAACAACTCTAGACCAAAAACTAGTCTTTCGTGGAAGAGATAAAATCAGGGAGCCTAAACCCCTTGGAAAGTCAGGAAGATAGTTTGTTTTTGCCCTTTTCAAGTGGAACAGCTGAGGTGCTGACCAGGAGGCCATTCAGGAAGCTGCCAGTATGGGTGGGCTGCCAAATCTCATCCCATAGAAGCCCTAACAGAGTAGAAACCTGAAGGACCTGACTTTGAGTCTGAGCTCTGTGGCAGTCACAAGACAGGCAAGTTGGAATAAACCTTCCGCGTTTCCATTAGAAAAGTGAATATGATCTCTGCATGCCCACAAGCCTTCTAAACTGGCATATTTGGGCAAACTTTCCCCTGGAAGATTTCCAGCAAGCTTACATACCTTCCTTCATAGTACTTAGCTCTTCCTTTCCTGACTTTTAGGAATATGAACTTTAGATGGGCTTATTTGCATTGGAGGAATACTGCTGGAACTTTTTTCCTAGCATGTGAAGAGTTTTCTTTGTGTGTAGAAACAACATGGGTAAAATATTTGGAGTGAAATCCAGGCTCCATTGAAGTCAATGGCAAAACTCCCATTCACTTCAGTGGAGCAGGAATTTCACTCTTTTACTGTTTTGAAGTTAGAGTTACTAATAGCCTGTTAAATTATTCCTGTGTGCATCAAACAAAATGTGCTTGATGTTAATGTTTCTGCTGTGTTCAAAACCCACAAAGGTTTAAAAACAAGAATAACTATGAACTTCTGAGTCTAAAAATTATGTTAAATGTAGTTTTGCTAGAAATAATAATATCCCTGGAGATAAACCTAAAATAATAGACTCCACCATATAATCTTCACTTTAAGCTAAAAATAGCATAGATGGTGGTTTAATCTAAGCCATAATTATCAAACTGCTGAAGCTGGTTTTGGTTCATTGCATGTGTGTTGTATTTAGGCTTTGAACAGTTGAGTCCCAAAACTGGAGAGAAACAAAGCCAAGAGCATAGTCAGAAAGCAAACAGGAGCCCCTGATTCGTAGAGAAATAGCATGGATTAAAGAGTGCAATGCTCTGTTTAAAGGGGTTGCTCCTGGCTTGCTCAGCCCAGGCAGCTGGAGACCTCGCAAGTTCCTATTGATCTGTGCTTTCAGCCCCAAATTAGTGACTCTTATTTTGCTAGGAAGTGACACTGGCCATGTGAGGCACCTTTTGTCTGAAAGCCATTTTCCATTTCATGTTGGAATCAAAGGAAGAATGTTAAGCTTTCAAAATGTTATTATTCTGTATGATTTTAAAAAAATTTTTTAATGATCATTCCGAAGTAGGATGGAAAACCCTTAACTCACTTTTGCTGCCAGGCAGCATGGTACAATGGGCTGAGTGTAGGACTTCTGACATTTCACTGACGGAGCAGGTGAACTTGGTCACATCATGTATCCCTTCTTTGCCACCATGAGGGCTGTTCACAAAGGCTTACCTCCAGCAGAGAAGTCTCACCATCCTACAGTGGCAACAGTTCGCTCTGAACAGTGAGTTACTGTGGCAGCCCACTGGTAGAGACTCTGCTAATGATAGAAGGGTCCTGAGTGGGAAGTTGGATGGAGGGGAAAGTAATACTTTTATATTTCTGAATAATTTTTAAAATCCTCACTGAATAAATTTGAATTCCCCCACATATCTTTATATTCCACAATGTGCTGTTTGTTTAGATGGTTTGTTTTACTGAGTAGGTCACATTCTGTTCTTGCTGAGATGGGCATGGGACAGTCTTGGCGTTGTTTGGACAGTGCTTGCAGAAATGGGAGCTTGATTCTGCCTCAGGCTCCTACGTGAGCATTGCTGTTACAGAGTCATAGACTGGTTTAGGTTGGAAGGGCCACTGGCGGTCATTTGACCAACTCACCGCTCAGAGAAGGATCAGCTTCAAAGTTAGATGAGAAAGAGATTGTACAATACTACAAATGTAGAGAAATGTTTTTTCCTAACTGACACAACAACAAAACTGGCCCATCTCTAGTATTAATTTGTTGACCATTCTCTCAGTATGATTGTATGATATAGACCATACCCACTAGATTTGGGAGAGCAATCCAAAATTTTCAGTAACTACTACCTAGTCTAGCAGCTGTCCTTTGGCTGTGCTACATCGCTTCTCCAGCTTCACTTCTCTGAACCCTCAAATAATTACATTTCCTGGTAGGAAAGTTCATAGGAAGCACATTTAAAATTTTCAGACAGACAAATACTGAAACCTTTGTGAAATTAAGGCAATGGATAAGTTCAAGTAATGTATATTTATTCATTAAACAGGTGCCCAGAGCAGTAGGTTAATGATTCTGTGTTATTTGTGCAGCCTGTTTTCCACTTGTTAATTGCTAAGAATGTCATTACTAAGTCTGATGGGAAATGAGAAAACCACATCATAAGTTGATGGTTTTTTTGTCTTGTTTTGTTTTACTCAAACAGCATGGGAATGAGCCATGATGATGACCATCAACCCTGCGCAGGGAGGTCTCATATTATGTCTGGAGAATGGGTGAAGGGCAGGAACCCAAGTGACCTTTCCTGGTCTTCATGCAGCCGCGATGACCTTGAAAACTTCCTAAAGTAAGGATTGTGCTGATTATCAAAAATCCTATCAGGCAAGAATGTAATGTGTTATCTGAAAGTGAAAGTCTAAACAATTTTCCTTAAAAAAAGTGTGTGCGTGTATCATTAAGGTGTGCAAGGTTGAATCTGTCTCCATTACAGTAGCCCCTTTGAAACTGAAGTTTGCAGAGAGGCAGAAGAATTACGTGCAGTTATCAAGGTACTGGTAGCTTCTTAAAAACAATCCCAGATCACCTTCATTTTACAAAAAATGCCCTTAATGTTAGCAATGACAGAAACCTGTGTGTGGGTGGCCTGAAAAACCTCTTCTCCATTGAAGGATGCTGCCAGCTTGTGCTTTGGCTTTTAGTGTCACTATTATTATTATTAAATAGCTTTTATTTTATAGAAACTTAATTTTATCTGGAGACAATTCTGGTGTGTTTTCTAACCCCTCAGTGAGTGTTGATCTTAAACAGTTCTTAAACAGCGGACTCACTATAAACTTCTTTCCCACTGCATCCATATTTCAGTTCATCATGTTCAACACTTCAGGAAGGATTTCTGTCCTGCTGCTTGTTAACTCTCATGTGCTATAGCAAGCACTGGAATTGTCTGAACCCTCTAACTGTGGTCTTAGACCTACAGTGCAGCTCTCTGACACTGTCTGGCACATTGACCAGTGCTTTTGTTGCTAGAAATGGCTTCAGAATGGAAAATTCCCCACTCTAGGGATTAGAGGTGAGAGGGAAAGGAAAATAATGAAAAAAGAAGGGAAATCTACTGTTACATTAAAGGCATGAAGTTGCATCTGAACTCACCAATCACTGGTCCCTGATAGAGAGGAGATGACGAAGTGATATTCGTGAATAGTTTAGACAAATGTTTAACACAGAATCATGTGAATATAGTCAATTCTGCCTCGAGGCCTGGGGATGAGTTCCCAAGAACCTTTCTGTCCATAGTTTTCAATTATTTAGAAGGCTTCCAGATATATACTGTGAAAAAACACCACTGTTTCACATGAGGTCACCAGATTCCCTGTTGAAGAGAGGACAACAGCTTCTGTACAGCAGCGATCTAGCACTCCAGTTCAAAGGTGCTTTCCCTTAAAGGCATATTTAACTCTCACACTCCACAGGTCCAAGGTCAGCACCTGTTTGCTGGTAACAGACCCCCGAAGCCAATACGCGGTGCGGCTCCCTCACAAGCTGCCTGGAATGCACTATAGTGCTGATGAACAGTGCCAGATACTTTTTGGGACCAATGCTACGTTCTGTAAGAATATGGAGGTAAGAGCTCATGGGGTGTACCTGAAAACAAGGTGGGAAGTGGAAATAAAGCTGTCAAGCACTGGGGAAGAAAAGGAGTCTGTACTTTCATCAGAACTACTTAATGGGATTTTCAGCGTGTTCAGCACTGCTGATACAAAATCAGTAGTCAAACTCCCCTTGACCTTTCTGTCAACAGCATGTACTTCTGCAGTCCTCCTCCTTTTCCTGCAGTGGTCTTGTTAATCTCCTAGAAGAGACCCAGAAAAACTTTTGTTTGTACTTGGGCTTAATTTAGGAACACTGACACTGTTGGACACTGTTTTGCTCAAGTACTCAGTAGAGATTGTTTTGCTGGACGTTCAGCTGAGGTGAAAGTCTCTTCTCACAAGAGTCCTTGCCCACTTCCACGGACTCAGCTTAGATGACTGTCTGGATCTTTCAGTAAACCTCACCTTCGCGCTGTTAACAATGTTTGTAGGACGTTAACTCTATGCTAAGGAAACATTAATCACTGCTTGTTTGATGAGGCCATTTAGAGATCTGTACAGAACGAGGCCCCTTCTTGTGTATTTTCTAAGCAACATGATGTTTAGTCAGGATTTGGGTGCAACATGGCTTTTATCACACGGTTGGTTGGCAAGATAGAAACACTGATTTTTGGTGTCTCTAGAAGTAGGTCATATTTGAGATGAGGCTGTCTGAGTTGTCCTCTGGAATTTAGACGGCTGAACTTTTCCTAAGGTCTTGCACATAATTAAATACCGTCATTCTGACCAGAGCTTGTCTGCATCCCAGTTTGGATAGGGACTGGAGAAATGCTTACATCCAGTGTGGCCTTGGAGATATCCAGAAGAAAGTCATGAAGCACTGTGTCCTATCACCAGCACCAGCTGGCAGCATTCTGTCCTGTATAGACAGGCTTGGGGCAGCCACGTTTCTTTCTGTCATTAACTAGCCATTTGTATTTTTCAGTTGTCCCTTATTCCCCTTCTCAACAATCTTGAGATCTTAACTCAGTGTTAACAAAGAAAATAACAATCAGCGATAACTGAGGTTTCTAAGTGCCAAATTACTAAAACTGTTGAACACATGCAAGTCCTGGGAACATGCTCTTAGTTTCACATTTGCTGTTTTATTTGTTTTGGATTTGGAAACTAGCTAATATAAAACAATAAGAAAAGAATCTGGGTAGGTTGTATTTCCCAGCTCCATCAAGAAAATGCAGACCACCAGGACTACTGTACTGGAAGCAAAGTATTAGAATATAGGTCTGTGCAGAAAACCCCAGATCTCCCCAGGATGATTCAAGTTCTTCCACTTGTGTGGGTGTCACCCAGCTTGACTGCTGTTGGAATAGATATTTGCTGTTTCCCTTGTTGCGCTAAAAAACATTCTGTTTCTGGATAGTCCAGTGCCTAATGAGAATGTCAGCCTGCGGGTAGGTGGTCAGCATTTCTCATGCAGAAATTGCATGTCCAGTCTGGAATTGCTTCAGAGACAAGTTTCTTGCCAGAAAAACAAGCCAAGAGGCACAGTTCTTCTCTGTAAGATACAGAGAGCAGGTGTTTGTGTCTCCCAAGATTTTTTACCAGTCTTACTTTTTGACATCTTTAGAATACAATGAAAACTGTGCTGTTTTCCTCCATCACTCCTTTAGTATCTCCCAAAGAAAAGCATATTTTGTAATGACTTTAGTATTCTCTAATGAAAAACCTTCTAGAACTTCAGCAGATGAAAACCAATTTGCAATCACTTATTTAGAAGTATTTTTGTTACAGGTATGTGTTAAGAGTTGGCGTTCCCACTGTGAAGCTTTGGATCAATTATGTCACATGCTATTAATTTAAGTCAATATTTGCATCCTGTTATGCTGCTCTGAATTGGCATTTGAAGGCAATGACAGGATAGAGGAAATGATCAGCTTTAATTTTTAAACCTTCAAAGTTCTTTTCACCTTTGTGTTTCTCATGCCTCATCTGCAGTATGCTTGTATCCTAAGTCTCAAAGCTGTCTACAAAAATATGAACAAAAAAAAAATTGGCACTGGTAATTGGCATTAGCTGTAGAAATTACTGGCAAATGTAGCTGTCTCCTCTTTTAGCCAGTGGTAATGTGGTATTTTTAATTCAATAAAGTATTAAAAAGATCCAAATGTAAAAGTAATAAACATTTGACAGTAAATATTTGTTACAAAAAGGAAATAAACTTCAGGAAATGAGCCTCCTCAATCTTTTTTATGATTACATGTGTCTACTGTCTATATTCTTATTTAATAAAAGAGTTACATTATAGCATTTTATTGGAGATAGTTGAGCTACAGAATTCTGTCAGGCAAACTAGAGGACCTGTATTCAAAGATGCCATACAATCTGGTTGTAGAGCAAATTTCAGAGATTAGATGAATCCAAAATTTCCACATTTTTGAGAAGCTGCAGAAACTCTGTGCAGTAAGCTCTT